CCAAAGTTTTTTTGGGGTCGGTTCATAACTCGAGGATCTGAGAAGCTAGAAGACTGAAATCTTGGGATAATGTTCCACGCCCAAGCGGCTATTAGTGGGCTCAAATCCAGTCCCCGGTTAAGCGTAGTACCCGCGTACGGACCCCCCAAAATTTTTTCCGCGCAAATTCATAACTCGGGGATCTAAGAAGCTAGAAGGCTGAAATCTTGGAGGAATTTTCCCCGCCCAAGTGGGTATTAGTGGGCTCAAACCCAGCCCTCGGGTAAGCGTGGTACCCGTGTATGGGCCCCCAAAATTTTTCCCGCGCAAATTCATAACTCGAGGTTCTGAGATGCTGGAAAGCTGAAACGGGGAATGTTCCCCGTCCAAGCAGGTGCTAATGAGCTCAAATCCAGCCTCCGGGTAAGCGTGGTACACGCGTACGGGCCCCCCAAAATTTTTCCCGCGTAAATTAATAACTCGGGATTCTGAGAAGCTAGACAGCTGGAATCTTAGGGTGTTGTCTAAGTGGGTATTAACGAGTTCAAGCCCTGCCGGCGGGTAAGCGTTGTACCTACTTGCAGGCCCGTGAAAAAGTTCCTTTCCGGGTAAGTTAATTACTCGAGAACGTGAGAAATAGAAGATTGGGAATTTTGAGGGGATTCTTCCTGACAGGTTCTGGCGGCCAGTCTGAAATTCAGCTAGAAGCATCTGCCGAAAAACCGATGCCGGTAGCGACAATAACCTGCGGGGAACTCTGCAAAAAACGCATCTTCGCACGGGCAGCCCGTGCGTTGGCCATTTATTTCATCTGAGAAGTTAGAACTAAAGGCATTTGAAAGAAAACGGACGAAAAAATAATGGTCGCCGCCTTTCAAGCATCTTAAAAATGCCCCCCTCACGAGACGTTTTTTAGCATTAACTAACACTTTTATTCGATACAATTTTGCATTACCATGTTATTCTTAAATTTTAGCCCTCCCAGGTTAATTAATTAGCAGTATCTCTGTATGCATTAAAAAAAAAAAATGCCAAAAAATTCCCGCTTGCTGCACCAAAATTTCTCAAGCACATCTTCTGTTCAGGAAAATCATGACAGTGGCGGTTTATTACCCACAGATCAGACTAGCGAAAAGCTCCAATTACACCTTTCGACTCGTGGATGTTCATTTCAGTTTTGATTGTCTGCTAGGACAACTCTGATTTCCTTGTTGTTTGAGAGTTTCTGCGTCCTTGAACGAAGACATGTGTATTTTTCATGTTGTATTTTCTAAATGACATATGTATTTTTCATGAATTTTTATTTCATGTTGAATTTTCTAAAAGAAGGAAATTTTCAAAAATTTCTCCATTAAAGGGTAGCTTTTCTAAAAAAACGCGCCTATTCTGCCAATGGAAAATTTTTTTTTCAGCTGTTTTTAAGTTGCGCCAAAAATGGTGACAAGCATCTGGATGCCTCAGGCTTACAGGACTTGTGCGTTAAACTCAATCTTACCTCATTTGCTGATGTCATCCTCGAGCGAATCCTTACCGGCTGCACAAATGTTGACTTCACGGTATGTATCATCTGTTGAATTTTTATGCACATTCTGTTGAATTTGTTGAGGATTGAGAATTCCACCTCATCACTCCGACAGCGAATTGAGGGCCACGATTCAATTCTATTCGTTTTGATGGTAAGCTGAAACTGGTACCTGCTAGGAAGCCAGAATCACAATTGGCTTACTTGTAAGGTACCCTCAGAAGAGAAGGAGCCCATTGGCAGCTTTACTGGTGGGCTCTCTCGAGTTTTACATGTTGTCATAGTGAATACGGAGGGACTTTTGGCTTTGACATATGATACAAAGGGAGAAATGTGTCAAAACAGTAATTAAATAAGTAGTTAGGGAACACTATTTTCTGAAGATAAGTTATTTATGTTTGTGATCACTGAGTTAAGAGTGGGAAACGAAAGAAGCATTTTTGATATTGAGAAAATTTCAGGATGAGCATCTTAAATAACTATATAAGAAGTACCCTTACATTAGGTTAGCTTGACCGATTGCTATTTCATGGTCGTGTTCCTTGCTGTCTGTGCAATTGGTACTGTCCATTCTCCTCTTTTTTTTAATTTCGGTGCATCCACATAGCTCCACTTTGGTGTTCAGACAGTTTTCATTTTGCTGTTTGTCCTTCCAATGTTTAATATCACGTGAATACCATTCATCAGTCCAGTTGTACGACTTTTCTCTCTTGTCCGCGCCACACTGTCGGCCCAGTCTTTGTCTTGATTGTGTGATCCACACTCCACCAAAAAAATTTATTTGTGTAGTGTGCTGGCGCCCACTATGTGTCATTCATTGGCTTATTGAAACACTACTAACTTTCTGACAGAAAGCGTAGAATAATATATTTCTCTTTCATACGGCAGAACTGGCATCGGTGTGGCTGTTGCCATTTCTTCAACTGCTGCAGCTTATAGCACAGCATTCACCTTGACGTTATCAGAAGATTTTTCTTAAACAACAGTTTGAGACACAGAGAAAGTTGGTATTGCTTAATGTAATTCCAGTGTGCTTCACCAGGCGCTGGAATATCGCCATCGCCAGGAACGGGATTTACTCCCTCAGCTAGTGTTCATTAAGGAGTCTTGTTGGTATTTTGTATCCAGTTTATGCATGCACCAACAAGCAAATCGGGTTTTTCACATTCTCCCCATCGGAATTATACAGCAGATTTGTTTCAACTCTTTCCAACTGCTAGGTATTTGGATGTGGCAGTTTTAGTTAAGATAAAGTAACATCTTTTTTAAAGTATTTACTCAAGTCTTTAAAAAGGAATGAGTTCATCAATTTTTTTGAACTAGCCTCTTCAATTTTAAGGTTTTCAAAGAACGGTTTGTACAGTTATTGCCGGATATTATCAACGTCGCTACGGTAGCAGAGAGTTTGGAAAGCAGTGCGGAAAAAAGTTTGCTGGAATGTGGCATTGAGCCCGGTGGCCTGTTCAGTCGCTATGAAGCTCGGATTCTCTGCGAAAATACACCTGAGCTCAACAAGTAAAGCCTGGATAAAATCAAGTTCGGATATAATAATATACAAACTACAGTGGTGCCGCTTCAGAGTTTATTGATCCTGGGACTGCGAATTTATACATGAATTTAGCCGTCCTTCGTCACTTTCTTTATTTGCAGTCACCTTTTGTAGGTTATCTTCTGTCCCAGCTTTTCTCCTGTAAATAAGGACTGCACTACCGTCTAAAAAAGCTTGAAAAGAGTCCATCATTGTGGAAAAAAATAGCAGTCTTCGAAAACGAGAAGTGTCTCGATGAGGTTTTCTTGATTGTTTATCCCTCTAAACTTTCACCTTGAAACGGCTTTCTATGCGTTTTGTGCTGTGCAACAGCTGCATAAAGCGTGTATTGTCACGGGTTTGTCTGTGTATGTGTTTTTATGTATGTGTCTCCGATGCGTCTTGTACGCAACTTTCAACTCGGGGACCGCTAAAGGTAGGAAGCTGAAAATTTAAGAGAATGTTCCCCCCCTATGTGTAACCCCGCAAATTTAAATTCAGCCTTCCCGTGCCCGCTGGTAACACGTACGCCCCCGTAAAAGTTTTGGCCGGTAAATTATTATCTCGAGAAACACGGAATCCAGGAAGCTGAATTTTTAGGGTAATGGTCCGTTGCCCACATATGACCTCGCAAATTCAGATTCAGCATCCCCGCGCTCCCGGGTATCACTTTCGACTCCGTGAAAGTTTCGGCAAGGAAAATCATTATTTCGTGAAAATTACTGATGTCCCCTATCACTGTACACTCCCGCAAATTTGGATATGTCTTTCATGCACCCTTGGGTACCACGTACGGCCCGATGAAAGTTTTGGCGTGAAAATTATCTCGTGAACTGCAAAAGTTAGGAAGCTGAAATTTTACGATAATTTTCCTTGCCCAAGTACAGCCCCGCAAATCTGAATTCAGCTTTCCCGTACGTCATGTGCGACTTCGTGGAAGTTTTGGCGATGAAAATTATCTCGAGAACCAGGAAGCTAGAAAGCTGAAATTTTAGCCTGACATCCCTTGCCCACATACGACTTCGCAAATTTTCAACGTACCCATGGAGGTTTTGGCGAAAAAATCATTGTTTTGAAAGCCAGAAGAGCTAAGGAACTGAAGATTTCAGGAAGATTTTCCCTGCCTAAACAGAGGCTTCACAAACTTGAATTCACTTCCTAAGTATGCCGAGGTCTCACGTACGACCACCTGAAAGTGTTGTTTCAAGAATCATTCGGAAGCCAGAAAATTAGGAGATTGAAATTTTGGAAGGTTATGTACCCTTTGAGGTTTCAAATCCAGCTTTCACACACTAGTGCGCGAAATTTTTAATGAGAAATTTCGCAAGTTGGGAACCAGACAACATTTCAACTATTTTCGCACAGAACAAGACGCAAAGCAGTGAAAATCATTAACAGACAATCGTGGAATTGCACAAAACGCATGATCGCACCGACTGCCATGGAACGCGTCGCTGTTTATTATTTGTTTTAATCAGTGGCGTACGCAGAAGTAAGCAGAGAGATGGGAGTTGGCACAACTTTTCCTTTTTTTTCTGTATCATTGTAGGTTGAAAAAAGATGGAAATTTAGTCACGAATCATAAAATTTAGCGAAGGAGAAAATTCGCTCAACAGTGAGCTGCGATGTGATGCAAGGGAATAGGACTTAGAAAACACTGCAATACGGAAATTCCATTAATAGGCAGCACATCTGTGGAAATTTTTATAACGCATTGTTGGGGAGTGTAATGGCGGTATTTCTCAAACAACACTCGAAAACGTTTTTTCGACTTCTTTAAAAAATTTGAAAGGTTGGAGGAAGGTGAGGGAATCAAACGTGAAATATTTCATTAGGTTAAAAAGTGAGAAATAACCTTTTGCCAAAACGGGATGTGCTTTTTCTGCAATTTTGCCAGTCTAAGTTGAGGGATGCCAAATTGAAGCATGCTGTGCTTGTACAGAACGTAATAGACTTGTGAAACGGATCGGCAAGGAGGCTTCTTTCAGGCTGCAGTCAGTGGAAATCAATGCACTTTTTGATCGAGCAGACAGTGAGCACGTTGGACGGGTTACTCTTGCGCAATTTCTTGCTCAGTATCACCACCAGAAGCGTCTAAGCGAAGAAGTGAATTTTATCACGGAAACTTTCATGCCGTCGGTCAATTTATTTGAAGCACTGGATTCTTCCCGCACGGGGTTAGCAGTATTCCTATTCAGAATTTAATTTGCAGTGACAAATTCGGGAGTGATGTCTGCATGGGCGAAGATGTGAATATGCTTGTCGGAGATTGCACGTCGAAGAGCTGCCGAATAGCACAAATACTGTAGTATCAGCAGTGTCATTAAAGCGGCTAATGAAAAATTTTTTTGGCCTTCCATCTCCCCTTTCCCATCTTCAGTAATAATAATAATAATAATAATAATAATAATAATAATAATAATAATAATAATAATAATAAT